AACAGCAGAATTTGCGAAGGCCAGCAGCAGCGGGAGGAGGAAGGTCGGGAACAGATTTTCTTCTTCTGGTTAGGCTATCTGGCTCCTTCTTGAGTCTTTTGTGTTTTAATTATTTAATCAAGCAGCCTTCTTAAAGCATCAGACAAGCTCAGTACATGTAGTTGATTTTATTAAAAAACAGGGTGTCTATATATGGAAAAATATGTTTCAACCTCTACGGGATCGGTGTCCCGTATACGGGATGGTTGAGCTAACGTGTGTTAATGTGATTAGCATGGGTGTTGTAAGTAACAGCAAACTTTCCAGGACATAGACATAGTCTTATATGGGCAGAAAGCTTAAATTCTTGTTAATCTAACTGCACTGTCCAATTTACAGTAGCTATTACAGTGAAAAGATACCATGCTATTGTTTGAGGAGAGTGCACAACAGCAAAAAAAATATCACGGCAACTGGTTTGATACATTCACCTCTGAAGGTAAATAATGTACTTACATTCAGTAATCTTGCTCTGATGTGTCATCCTAAGGGTCCCAGAGATCAAATGTAGCATAGTTTTGTTTGATAAAATCAATTTTTATATTCAAATGTAGGAACTCGGTTCTACAGTTTGAACCCCTGCTGTCTCTGGCTCCACACCTACCCTGCCTGACATCTAGATGTGTGAAAGTTAGTGTATAAGCTGATGATCCATCATGTATGACATTCCTGGGAGTGTGTAAACTTACATTTTGTATTACCATATCATTTTTGAATGTTCTCTATAGTTATGTACTTGAAAATGTATCAATTGACCAATTCGGCACATTTGGGCAGACTTGATACAAAATAGTCCAGTATTGCAATGCTTCTAATCTAATGTTCTATTCTCCTACATTAATTTCACATTTCCACAAACTTCAAAGTGTTTCCTTTCAAATGGTATCAAGAATATGCATAGCCTTGCTTCAGGTCCTGAGCTACGGGCAGTTAGATTTGGGTATGTCATTGTAGGCTAAAATTTTTGGGGGGGGTTAAAGTCGACCAATACTTTTTTTTTTGTCGGGGACAGCCCTACAATAGATCATTAAATTTAAGTAAATTAAAACCATAGTAAAATCAATACATGAAAAACACGGAAAGGGGATGAGGCTAAAACAACCGGGGGAGATGGGAGAGCTCGCTTGGGGTCAGGTTCAGGTTTCCTTTTGTCCATATGTAGGGTGACTGGGTTTCTCATATGAAAGGACTCCGCTAGCGGATAGGAGAGAGTTTTATATAGGATGTCTTTAAATAAGAGACAGGTGGGAGGTACTAGTGGGTTTCGGTGAAGGTTTTCTGAAAATCAAACGTATGTTTTTCATGCATTAAAAAATATACTTCAAACTTGATGAACTTAAGTTATCAGATGCTTATGATTGAAGGTTAGGCCTTAGTACTAAGCCTCTAGTTCAAACCCATTATAGGCTTAATCACATGGTGAGTACATGTTCGGACCAGACTAACCACATCTTGAGCATATCTGTTGAAAGACCAGAACCTCAGAACCGGATCTGTGGCAGGACTGAACTTAACATTCAACCTCAAGGTTCTGTCTTGCAGATGCTGAAAAGCATCTTGGCAGCCGAGGAGAAAGTTCGAGAGGAAGTGGTCAGAGGAGAGGAATCTGACTATGTTGACGAGTAGAATGTTAGTGGAGTTTATTATTTTTGAAGTCCTAAACTCAATTCACCAAGTGACAATTTATAGAAGTGATAGACAACACATAACACAGGGATAGCATAAATGCATGAACCATGACATAACTACTTAATGTTGGTTAAAGGCTTGTAAGTAAGCATTTCATGGTAAGGTCTACACCGGTTGTATTCGGCACGTGACAAATAAAATGTGATTTAATGTAACATAGCATAAACATACCATAAGTTCATTATCTAGAACAAGACAGGACAGATACACTCACTCAGTAGATCCCAAAGTAGGCTATAGGATGATGTATTGGACATTGCACGCAGTCATTCTAGTTGATGATAAAGGGAGGTTTTGTTTTTTTCTTCTGGTTATTCTGCATATTGTTGCCAGCACACAGTCAGTGGCTGATTGAGCACATTCCTCTACACTGATGAACATAGACACAGAGATGACAGAAATTGCTAGTCCAGTGTTTGCTAGTAATTCAAGGTGTTAGCTAGTGTTGCTTCCAGTATTTTGGCCTCACATTCAGCCTGTTGGATGCCTCTCTGCAGAGCGTTTATACTCTGACTTTGACTCTAGTTAGATCAGAAGACTGTGTCCTCTGTGTAATTTCTATCCTGTGTGTGTCGAGTTATGCCAGGGTGTTTAGCTCGTCTGTCCTTGTCCCTGTGTTTGTTGTCAGGTGGTGCCTTCATCACTGGTTTTTAAGGGGGCATCTCATGTCCTCATTGACCAATGGTTTAAAGAGACTCTCCTCCCCAGTCAACCCTGTTCCTCCCTCCTGGCTCACTGAGGGTTTAAAGGGACTGGCAACAACTGATTATAGCCTCAGCGGCACGTGGGCGATTGTCACACACTTGCACACATTGTCCGACCGCTCTACGAGCTTGTTAAACACTCCAGCGAGTTGGGCTTGGCCGCTTTCCCAGAATCCTTTGTTTAGACCGAGTCTTTCTTCTTTTCTGTAATGTTCCAATGTTCTGCTGCTGCTTATAGAGGGAAAACTCACAATAATAGGAAAGGATTATCGTGTGTGTATTGGGAAAACAATGATAATGGACCACTGAGGCCAGGGACCGTATTATCTGACTGTGGCAATGCTGGTGGATTATTTGCATCTATTAGGTTACGGATACCTCGGCTCGCTGAATGGCATGTGACAATTTTTTTTGTACAGACTGGTTTTCCCTAAGTGGTGGGACTGTCAATGTGGTGTTTTGTACCATAAAGATTGTCAGGCATTAGATTGACTGTAATTCAAAACCCAAGTAGTTGTGCTGCTGGTGTGTGCATTTCAAATACCTGAAGCACATTTTCTATAGGAGAGGATAGGTTTTGATCTGGTCAGCTGTCAAAAGGTGTTCCTCCAGCAGAAGCGAGCTATGATAGAAAAACAGACAACTGACAACACACCACACGAACACAAACACCCCTCCGTTTGACAGCTCACAAAGGAGGATGGCAGTCACGCTGTGATTTCAAAGGCACGAGACAAGGCAATTTTTCTTGTTTGTTGAAAATTGTCACGTTCTTCTCTTTCCTCCAAGGATTTGAATATAATTATAATAACTAGGGCTGTCCCTGACAAAAAAAAAATCCTTGGTTGACCGAGTCGTCCTGTTCTTTCGACCAATCGATTGGTCTAAATGTTTAAGCTTATTTTTCCATATACAGTGTATTCGGAAAGTATTCAGACCCCTTGACTTTTTCCATATTATTTTACGTGACAGCCTTATTCAAAATCGATTGAAATTGTTTTTTTCCTCATCAATCTACACTACCCCATAATGACAAGGCAAAAACGGTTTAAATTTTTTTATAATTATTTGCAAATTTATAAAAAACTGAAATCACATTTTAAATAAGTATTTAGACCCTTTGCGCAGTACTTTGTTGAAGCACCTTTGGCAGCAATTACAGCCTTGAGTCTTCTTGGGTATGACGCTACAAGCTTGGCACACCTGTATTTGGGGAGTTTTCTCACATTCTTCTCTGCAGATCCTCAAGCTCTGTTAGGTTGGATGGGGAGCGTCGCTGCACAGCTAATTTCAGGTCTTTCCAGTGATGTTCAATTGGGTTCAACTCCGGGCTCTGGCTGGGCCACTCGAGGACATTCAGAGACATGTCCCGAAGCCACTCCTGTGTTGTCTTTGCTGTGTGCTTAGGGTCGTTGTCCTGTTGGAAGGTGAACCTTCACCCCAGTCTGAGGTGCTGAGTGCTCTGGAGCAGGTTTTCATCAAGAATCGCTCTGTACTTTGCTCTGTTCATTTTCCCCTCGATCCTGACTAGTCTCCCAGTCTCTGCCGCTGAAAAACATCCCCACAGCATGATGCTGCCACCACCATGCTTCACTGTAGGGATGGTGCCAGGTTTCCTCCAGATGTGACGCTTGGCATTCAGGCCAAAGAGTTAAATATTGGTTTCATGGTCTGAGTCCTTTAGGTGTCTTTTGGCAAACTCCAAGCGGGCTGTCATGTGCCTTTTACTGAGGAGTGACTTCCATCTGGCCACTCTACCATAAAGGCCTGATTGGTGGAGTGCTGCAGAGATGGTTGTCCTTCTGGAAGGTTCTCCCATCTCCACAGAGGAACTCTGGAGCTCTGTAAGTGACAATCAGGTTTTTGGTCACCTCCCTGACCAAGGCCCTTCTCCACCGATTGCTCAGTTTGGCCGGCGGCCTGCTCTAGGAAGAGTCTTGGTGGTTCCAAACTTCTGTGTTTTGGTACCCTTCCCCAGATCTGTGCCTCGACACAATCCTGTCTCTGAGCTCTACGGACAATTCCTTCGACCTCATGGCTTGGTTTTTGCTCTGACATGTACTGTCAACTATGGGACCTTTATATAGACCAGTGTGTGCCTTTCCAAATCATGTCCAAACAATTGAGTTTACCACAGGTGGACTCCAATCAAGTTGTAGAAACATCTCAAGGATGATCAATGGTAGCAAAATGCACCTGAGCTCAATTTCGAGTCTCATAGCAAAGTGTCAGATTTCTGTTTTTCATTTTTAATACATTTGCTAAAATGTCAAAAAAACTGTTTTTGCTTTGTCGTTATGGGCTATTGTGTGTAGATTGAGGGAGGGAAGGGGGGGAGGGGGGAAATTGAATCCAGTTTAGAATAAGGCTAATGTAACAATGTGGAAAAGTGAAGGGGTCTGAATACTTTCCGAATGCACTGTATGTCATGTACTATTAAGACTAATGTCCTTTCTGTTGTCTCTGTATCACCAGCTGGTGGAGACATCTCTGAAGGGAGAGATAACCTTTGACCCATGCTGTGCCTACTACCTGTGGTTTGTCATGGACTTCTGTGACGGAGGAGACATGAACGCTTACCTGTTGTCCCGTAAACCCAGCCGCAAGACCAACACCAGCTTCATGCTGCAGTTAGGAAGCGCCCTGGCCTTCCTCCACCGAAACCAGATCATCCACCGAGACCTGAAGCCTGACAACATCCTCATCTCCCAGGGAAGGACCTTGGCGGGAACACCCGAGCCCACCCTGAAGGTTGCCGACTTCGGCCTGTCCAAGGTCTGCTCCACATCGGGTCTTAACCCTGAGGAACCAGCATCTGTCAACAAGTGTTTCCTTTCCATGGCGTGCGGCACAGACTTCTACATGGCTCCAGAGGTGTGGGAGGGCCACTACACGGCTAAAGCAGACATCTTTGCCCTGGGCATCATCATCTGGGCCATGGTGGAGCGGATCACGTTCGTGGACGTGGAGACCCAGAAGGAGCTCCTGGGAAGCTACGTGCAGCAGGGGGAGGAGATCGTGCCCCTGGGGGAGGCGCTCCTGGAGAACCCCAAGATGGAGCTGCTGATCCCGGCAAGGATGAAGAGCATGAATGCCGGCATGAAACAGCTGATCAGGGAGATGCTGTCGTTCAACCCTCAGGAGAGGCCTGACGCCTTTGAACTGGAGCTCCGACTGGTCAGGATCGCCTGCAGAGAGCTCGACTGGGACACGTGATAATGGGGGTGGATAGGAGGAGAGAGGACCATGGGACTTGTAGTCACAGCGTCAAGCACATGTATCTAGGTCTAATTCACCACTGTTAGCTCTGGTGGCGGAGGCCACACAATGGGAGTTTTTTCTTTTCAAGGGAACAATTCAAAGTTTGCAAAGATTTTGGCTTTGCAGTTGGATATTGGATCGGATGTACTGGTAAACCTAGCTCAACAGGTTGACAGCCAGTCTGTTTGTTTTGAATGTTAACATAGCAAGGCTGTCCATAAGCACATTCAGCTGTCTGTCTCTCAGAAGGAGAGGTGTTGCTAGCTACCCCACTGCTACTGGTTTAGGCTAACCTGTTAGAAGTTGACTCTGTAGTTTGCCTACAAATGCCACCCCAGACTCTGTGCTAATAATCATACTAAGGATGCAATTTATGATACAGGGAGACTGCATCTTGTTATGATATGGATGCAATTATAAACAAAGGTCCAATTTATACAAACACCTCAGTGATCGTAAACTGTGCACGGCTGGTTTTACCAGTATTCTGTGACCACACCCTGCTCCTCCCTATCAACTGACACGCAAGCGCACACTTCCCACTGCTCAGGTAAAAACTAAGATATACTGTTGGTTGGGATTTGTAGACAAACAGCTGTTTTTGAAGAGAGCAACATGACATATCACAGAGGCCTGTGTATTCTGGGCTCGCCCTGAGCCAATTATGGGAATTAGGCTAGTGACACAGTCTTGGTATGCCAGCCCAGTGCAGAAGTAACTTAACAACTCCCAGCCCAGTGCAGACAACCTAACAATGCCCAGCCCAGCGCAGACATGACCTAACAACCCCAGTCAGCCAGTGTCATGATTGGCCCGGAATGAAAATAATTTGAGAAATAGAATGGAGTATTTGGAATGTAATTAACTTAAGTCACATAACTTAAAGGCCAGAGACAACAAGCTGCTTATTCTAAATGCATAAGGGAATGTGTTCCTGCCCGAAACTAACATCAATGTATTTAGCTGAAGAGCCAGTGTTCTGCTTGTATTATTATAATATAGAGCTTGAATTTAGACTTGCATTCGCACAATTGAAGGCCAGTTCAGTTCCGAATGAAACCTGTCTGAACGGTATGGTTAGGGGTTCGACTTCGGTGGCAATCACTTGACGACAAATGCACTTTTATTTAGTTTTCCTTTATAATAACTTACCCTGCTATTATCTATCACCTTGAGAAGGCTGGATATGGTGTGATGACTCCAAACAGTGTTTACTAGGGGCCTGGGAGGACGTATTGTCAAACAGCAAACAAGTAGTCTAATTATGCATGCAATGCCTCTCTCACACACACACCCCGGTGTATTGTCAGCAAACAGAAAGTCTACTTATGCATGCAATGCCTCACACCTTCAGAGAGGAAGAGAGCGCGAGGGGAGACACCAGCAGCACAGCACACACTACTCCCTGAGCCCAGAGGATCTATAGTTTGACACACAATACCGTTTGTTTAACCTTCTCTCATATATATATATAACACAGTTAACAAACTATAGTTTTGGCAAGTCGGTTAGGACATCTACTTTGTGCATGACACAAGTAATTTTTCTAACAATTGTTTACAGACAGATTATTTCACTTATAATTCACTGTATCACAATTCCAGTGGGTCAGAAGTTTACATACACTTAAGTTGACTGTGCCTTTAAACAGCTTGGAAAATTCCAGAAAATTATGTCATGGCTTTAGAAGCTTCTGATTAGGCTAATTGACATAATTTGAGTCAATTGGAGGTGTACCTGTGGATGTATTTCAAGGCCTACCTTCAAACTCAGTGCCTCTTTGCTTAACATCATGGGAAAATCAAAAGAAATCAGCCAAGACTTCAGAAAATAAATTGTAGACCTCCACAAGTCTGGTTCATCCTTGGGAGCAATTTCCAAATGCCTGAAGGTACCACGTTCATCTGTACAAACAATCGTACGCAAGTATAAACACCATGGGACCACGCAGCCGTCATACCGCTCAGGAAGGAGACTCGTTCTGTCTCCTAGAGATTAATGTACTTTGGTGCGAAAAGTGCAAATCAATCCCAGAACAACAGCCAAGGACCTTGTGAAGATGCTGGAGGAAACCGGTACAAAAGTATCTATATCCACAGTAAAACGAGTACTATATCGACATAACCTGAAAGGCCGCTCAGCAAAGAAGAAGCCACTGCTCCAAAACCGCCATAGAAAAGCCAGACTATGGTTTGCAACTGCACATGGGGAGAAAGATTGTACTTTTTGGATAAATATCCTCTGGTCTGATGAAACAAAAATGGAACTGTTTGGCCATAATGACCATCGTTATGTTTGGAGGAAAAAGGGGGCACTTGCAAGCCGAAGAACCGTGAAGCACGGGGGTGGCAGCATCATGCTGTGGGGGTGCTTTGCTGCTGGAGGGACTGGTGCACTTCACAAAATGGATGGCATCATGAGGAAGGAAAATGATGTGGATATATTGAAGCAACATCTGAAGACATCAGTCAGGAAGTTAAAGCTTGGTCACAAATGGACAATGACCACAAGCATACTTCCAAAGTTGTGGAAAAATGGCTTAAGGACAACAAAGTCAAGGTATTGGAGTGGCCATCACAAAGCCCTGACCTCAATCCTATAGAACATTTGTGGGCAGAACTGAAAAAGCGTGTGCGAGCAAGCTTATTGTGGGAAGCTTGTGGAAGGCTACTCGAAACGTTTGACCCAAGTTGACCAATTTAAAGGCAATGCTACCACATACTAATTGAGTGTATGTAAACTTCTGACCGACTGGGAATGTGATGAAAGAAATAAAAGCTGAAATAAATCATTCTCTCTACTATTATTCTGACATTTCACATTCTTAAAATAAAGTGGTGATCCTAACTGATCTAAGACAGGGAATTTTTACTAGGATTAAATGTCAGGAATTGTGAAACTGAATTTAAATGTATTTGGCTAAGGTGTATGTAAACTTCCGACTTCAACTGTCTATATATATATATATATATATATATATATATATATATATATATATATTATATAAAGGGGCAATCAGTAGTTGCCCCTTTAATCTCTCTCTCACACACCTCAGTTTCCCCTGGATCGTACCGGTAATCCCCTTTTCCACGCTTCCTTCCGACAGACCCATACTAAGCCTTTTTAGGCTGTTGGTGTAGTTGGCAGAGGTACAGGAAGGCTCTCTCTCGGGACCCCGGTCTATCACCTTGCAGGTCATAATTTGTGCGCTTCTAACAGTTGTGGAAACATCAATATCAACAAATTTTCATCTGAAAACGTAGTTTCAGAGTGTTATTGTAAAACAGTGGCTGAAGTTGTAAAATGTATTTCGTACGACCTGGCTGTCGCCAACATTAACCTGTATTACTGCCTTTTTCAAATGGCTTCCATCGCCAAAATACTTTTGTCTTTCATGATATTAACATACTTTATGCTTTATTTTAATATCGCCACACACTAGCACATATAGCACTATATTGTTTGATTTTGTGGTGGCCAGGCACATTTTTGTTCAGAATTTTGGCTTTGGGATTCTTATCTCCGCTATTTTACACCCATAATGTTAGCACGGATTGTGCTTTTTGATGCATATTTTATTAAAGGGGCAGTCAGCAGTTGCTACATCAATTTTTTGACTTATAAATTAATGATAAGTACCCATTGATTCGTGAAGAATATAACTTGATGCCGCATGAGTTTAGTTAAACTGTTGTACCCCATCAGAACCCAAAATATACACTGAGTGTACAAAACATTAGGAACACCTTCCTAATATTGAGTTGCCCCATCTTTTGCCCTCACAACAGCCTCAATTCATCGGGGTATGGACTACAAGGTGTCAAGCATTCCACAGGGATGCTGGCTCATTTTGACTCATGCTTCCCACAATTGTGTCAAGTAGGCTGGATGTCGTTTGGGTGGTGGACCATTTTTGATACACAGGAAACTATTTAGCATGGAAAAACCCAGCAGCGTTGCAGTTCTTGACACACTCAAACTGGTGCATCTGGCACCTACTACAATACCCTGTTCAAAGCCACTTAAATATTTTGTCTTGCCCATTCACTCTGAATGGCACGCATACACAATCAATGTCTCAATTGTCTCGCGGTTTAAACATCCTTCTTTAACCTGTCTCCTCCCCTTCATCTACACTGATTTGAAGTGGATTTAACAAGTGACATCAATAAGGGATTATAGCTTTCACCTGGTCAGTCTGTCATGGAAAGAGCAGGTGTTACTAATGTTTTGTGCACTCAGAGTATATACTGTATATGAGCTACTGCAGAGGTTAAATGAGGTTAATGGACATGTGACTGTGGATTATTACGCTCTGTTTTCAAGGGCCTTGACAGTGTTTGAGTTGTATATTTGCTGTGATTGGTTTTATCTTTTTTCAACAGTTACTTCCATTATCTTCTGTCATTGATACAGAAGTGTGTTTTATAATTACAGTTGGATACTGTATTGGTGTGGTGGTAATTATGTCTTCATTGGCTGAAAGTTGGTTGGTCGTTGGTTTGTGTAACAAGATTGGGTACGCACAACTGGGGTCAACAACTCAAACGTCTTTGCTGCTTCTGATGAGCTTGATATGGAGAGAAAGAGCTCGTTGCCTGAAATATAATCCTACCAGACTCCTCAGATGTGTCACCTTTGGTGAAATCTGCATCCCAAATGGCACCCTATTGCCTATATAGTGCACTACTTTTGACCAAAGGCCCTGATCAAACGTAGTTATATAAAAGGGTGCCATTTGGGACTGAAAAATCATAAGTGCCCTATTCAGAACAGGACCCATTTACAAAGAGAAACCTCATCAGTTGAAAATAAACAAGCACCGGTGTACATTACAACCAGGTGTATGGGGGGGGGGGGCTCCTCAAACTTTTCTATGAACAATAATTTCTTTGTATGTCATTGTAAGATATTTTTGATGAGATTAAATGAAATGTATCAATAAATGCTGTAATAAGTGTCATTCATTGTTGAATTATAAATAAAACCAACAAAAGTTGATAAAGTATTGTTGTATTAACAAAGTCCTCTTGCATGTAACAAAGTCCTGTTAGATTTCATTTCATAGTGAATGTTTTAGTGAGAATCAACTCACCTGCAAGTTTTCCATTCATTTAGCTGCTAATTGAGTGGTAGATGCCCTTTGTAGGTTGGAAAGGTTATAGTTGATACTCTTCAGCCTCTGATTGGATAATTGACTAACATTTTGCTAGTGAGCTGAAATGTGGGAATCTATCAGAGTAACTTACACCTACTTTCAATCTCATGGGCTAGTTCTAGTTATCAAATCTAACACAAATCCCTCTTCCAACAACATGTGGGGTCAAGGTGAGTTAAGGGACCTGCAATGCAACTCTAAGATACCACACAAATTAATTTAACTGCCGTTTTTAAGTTTTAATCACTCATTGTTCCTGCTTACTTTCAGTAGATGTGTTGTGCAGTTCGATGTGTTTTCCCAAAGGATACAACAGAGGCTCAGATATGGGAAGTGAATACAGGTACAACCAGTCCCCAGGTGGATTCACCACCTCCCAGTCAGGACAGAAGACAACCACAGTGTTTCTTTTAACCCTGACGCCATCACATAACCCATAACTGCTTACTGCACAACGACACAATGTTGTCTTGGAATGCATTGAGCTAGCATTCCTATCTTAGAAAGTAGATGACCTTTAGTGTACCAAAATGTGATGCTTCTCCATTGACCTGCTGTGACAGAGGTCAGCCATCCAGATGATGCCATGTCTCAGCTGCTGTCTGCCACATTTGCCAGGGAAGTCTTCGGCGTTGGCGACGTCGAGGTCAACCAGGTGAGTGTTTCTGTTCCCCCAGGTGAGGGTCCCTGTTCGTAGAGAAAGCTAGAGCCCTTTCTCAGTAGGTTCTATATCATGTTTATCCACCTTTTTCACCATGAAATACCTGGTCACACACAAACTGTTTTGGCAGTGTTGCATTGATTGAACTGTGTGTTTGTGTGTTGCGCGCATATGCATCCACCCACACACACACCTGTCTGTATTTGATTTCTGGATGAATGTATCTGTGGTGGGTATCATCAGGAGAACGGATCCCTCAGTAACCAATGTCCTGTACTCTGTGGACGACGTGACTGGACCACCGTTGGACGTGAAGCTATGGGTGTACACTGCGGTAAGTGGATAGTTATAGGTCTTCGTCCACAAATGTCTCAAATGAAAAATAGGGCATCACCAAGTTCTTCTCTATTTTCTAATACATGCATAGCAGATAATATACTGAATATTTGTCTTACAGGATCCTTGTGTGGACAGTACTTTTGTTCCCCCAGGGACTTATGTCAAAGTCTCTGGAAGTCTGCGCATCATTCAGGTAAATGTATTCCATTCAGTACTTTGAGTCTAGTATTTATATGCATGATTATGGCACATTTTTGTCCCCCTTTATGTACCTCCTGCCAGGGCCAAAGGTCATTGGTGGCTTTCAACCTCTTGCCTTGTGGACCTGAATGAGTTGAGTTTGAGAGGCCTAGACCCTAGCTTCTAATGCCTGATTCAGACTATAGGGCCGACCTGAACCGTACTATGTTGGTTCAGATATTTTTATTTTCACATTGTCCTTACCAGCACAGTTCCAGCAACTAGCGTCAATGTGTAACCAGGCCAACACAGTACAGCTAAGCTTGGCTTGGTTTGGCTAAGTTGTGTGAAAAGGGTATAAGTGTCTTGGGACAGGGGGTGGGGGTTGTTTCTGGATAAGGCCTCAGTTTGCAGTTTCAAAACCAACTCGACAATGGATTTGTCTGTGTGATATTGGGCCTTTAGTCTAAGGCTGCGTTTACACATGCAGCCCAATTCTGAGATTTATTTTCACTAATTGGTATTTTGACCAATCAGATCAACTCGGAAAAAGATCTGATGTGATTGGTCAAAAGACCAATTTGTGGAAAAAATATCAGAATTGGGCTGCCAGTGTATTACATGGCTTTATTTATCCTCCTGTAAGGTGTTGAATCTGATCAGGATCTGCTCAGACTCAAAACCCAGGGGCATCAATCTACAGGAGCTACACATTAAGCTGGATTACCTCAGCATGACTGTCATCAAGTAACGGATGCACTTTCTTCACTTTGGTGTGTTTAGTAGGGAGAAAACGTTTTAAATCGTAGAGAAATGGAGAGTTCTGGTCTTAATACTTCTCTTCCCCTTTACTCCATGCAGCCAGTCCTTGGAGTTTCTAATCAGCAAAGGCCACATCTTCTCCACCATCGATGACAAGCATTTCAAGTCCACTACTGGCTAGAGAATGTCTTCTGTCCACTTACATGAATGGCTATTGGAATTTGTTTCATAAAAAGACTAAACATTTTGGTTTATTAACATGCATGACCGATACCTGTGATGGGACCAATTCTTTAGAATGCATTATATTATTTGTTAATTATTATTTACACTCAAATATGGTGATTTGGTAAATGTGTTGACTGTGCCCTTATTTGTTTTATATTGTGTATTTATTTTATGTTTGACGTCCTCAATGGTATGTGACAGCTGATGATGCACAGTGTAAAATGTTGACTGGCTAAATGATTGCTTGGTGAAATATCATTATGCAATATAAATAATTTATCAGCAAAATTGTATCTTGTCTTGATTAGCAAAATTATCAACAATATGTTGACACAAACTTCCACAACAATTTGATCTCCACTTCAACATAATAGTAGACACATTTTCAAAGTATTTAATCATGATAAACTACGATTCCCAGCTTTCTACAGACTTCACTGAAGTCCTCACTTTCCCAGCATTCACTAGTACACGGTGTAAGATGGCAGCAAACTCAAGCACTAACACACCTCTTTTTGACTGCCCGTCATGGTAAGACCTGCGACGATGTCTAATGCATAATTTTGACTGTCAAAAATCAAAAGCATGCAGTAGAGTGTTGTAAGGTCCATGTCGGTGAAATAAATGAGATTGTCGTATCGAAATAGGCTGTAGTGTTTTTGCTAGAAACTAGCTAGCTATCTGGCTAACTTAGCTATGATATTGGAGTGCTCAGTCACAGTCGGATGCTAGCTGTTTGATGAACATTCTACTAACTAGCTTCTCAGTGAAATCCAGCGTCAAGGTTTGATAAAGCTGTATGGCGTATCTACCCCAAAACAGGCTGATGGTATTGGTGTTCCAGAATGCTTACTGTTACACAGCATTTGCAATCCTATTCCTTTCCCAAGATAAGAATTACAGTAGGAGTATTGCTTGTGCAGTTTACACAAATTATTTGAAGAAATGGCATGCAAACCCATAGTCTTGTTCAACTACTTTTGCAGCAAGACAGTGAAACCACAGTCTTTTGAATAAAGGCATAGTTAACGGCATGCAATTGACGTTCACTGTGAGTGTCTGCTGTCTGTGTGTTTTGTCAGGGCAGGGAAACCTCCCCCTGGACTCCATCTAGATGTGGTGAAGGGAGACAAGCTAGTAGAGGTAAGTCTAGTAGCCTAGTCTTAACTCTGACCCCAACTTCCACCTTCATGACAACAGCTTTTGGTGCTGGACAGAAATAGCCACACATAGAAGAAGCAAGAGCAATGCCTGTTTGCATAAGACGTGGCTTGTATCAAGTAGCCTACTGTTAATTTAAATATGATAACGTTTAAAGTCTGTTATAAGGTGTAGGGCCTATATTATATACAGTGCATTCGGGAAAGTATTCAGACCCCTTGACTTATTCCACATTTTGTTACGCTACAGCCTTATTGTAAAATGGATGAAATAATTTTTTTCCCTCATCAATCTACACACAATACCCCATAATGACAATGCAAAACCAGGTTTTTAGCAAATTGAAATATCACATTTACATAAGTATTCAGACCTTTTACTCTGTATTTTTGTTGAAGCACCTTTGGCAGCGATTACAGACTCGATCCTTCTTGGGTATGACGCTACAAGCTTGGCACACCTGTATTTGGGGAGTTTCTCGCATTCTTCTTTGCAGATCCTCTCAAGCTCTGTCAGGTTGGATGGGGAGCGTCGCTGCACAGCCATTTTCAGGTCTCTCCACAGATGTTCGATCTGGTTCAAGTCCGGGCTCTGGCTGGGCCACTCAAGGACATTCAGAGACTTGTCCTGAAGCCACTCCTGCGTTGTCTTGGCTGTGTGCTTAGGGTCGTTGTCCTGTTGGAAGGTGAACCTTCGCCCCCAGTCTGAGGTCCTGAGCGCTATGGAGCAGGTTTTCATCAAGGATCTCTCTGTACTTTGCTCTGTTCATCTTCCCCTCGATCCTGACTAGTCACCCAGTCCCTGCCACTGAAAAACATCCCCACAGCATGATGTTGCCACCACCATGCTTCACCGTAGGGATGGTGCCAGGTTTCCTCCAGACGTGACGCTTGGAATTCAGGCCAAAGAGTTAAATCTTGGTTTCATCAGACCAGAGAATCTAGTTTCTCATAGTCTGAGAGTCTTTAGGTGCCTTTTGGCAAACTCCAAGCGGGCTGTCATGTGCCTTTTACTGAGGAGTGGCTTCCGTCTGGCCACTCTACAATAAAGGCCTGATTGGTGGAGTGTTGCAGAGATAGTTGTCCTTCTGGAAGGTTGTCCCATCTCCACAGAGGAACTCTGTCAGAGTGACCATCGGGTCCTTGGTCACCTCCATGACCAAGGCCGTTCTCCCCCGATTGCTCAGTTTGGCCGGGTGGCCAGCTCTAGGAAGAGTCTTGGTGGTTCCTAACTTCTTCCATTTAAGAATTATTGAGGCCACTGTGTTCTTGGGGACCTTCAATGCTGCAGACATGTTTTGGTACCCTTCCCCAGATCTGTGCCTCAACACAATCCTGTCTCGGAACTCTACGGACAATTCCTTCGACCTCATGGCTTGGTCTTTTCTCTGACATGCAATGTCAACTGTGGGACCTTATATAGACAGGTGTGTTCCTTTCCAAATCATGTCCAATCAATTGAATTGACCACAGGTGGACTTCAATCAAGTTGTAGAAACATCTCAAGGATGATCAATGGAAACAGGATGCACCTGAGATCAATTTCGAGTCTCATAGCAAAGGGTCTGAATACTTATGTAAATAAGGTATTTCTGTTTTTTATTTGTAATACATTTGCAAAAATTTATAAAAACCCATTTTCGCTTTGTCATTATGGGGTATTGTGAGTGTAGATTAAGGAAGAAATGTTGTTTTTTAATCAATTTTAGAATAAGGCTGTAACGTAACAAAATGTGGAAAAAGTAAAGGGGTCTGAATACTTTACGAATGCACTGTAGTTGCTGCACATGTCACTGTGTTGGAAGATGCGGTTAAACAAACATGGAATGGAAGAATGTCTCTCTGTGCCTATTGAACCTAGTGACCCCTTGGATTCCAAGGCTGTCAAAGACCCACACATCATTTAACCCTAACCCAAAATTGCCCTTGAACAAGGCATTTAACCCTCATTTGCTCCAGGGGCGCCGTTCTACTATGGCTGACCCTGTAAAACAACAAACACATTTCACTGCACCTATCCGGTGTATGTGACAATAAAACATATATTTTATATAAACTCAGCAAAAAAAGAAACTTCTGTTTTTCAGGACCCTGTCTTTCAAAGATAATTTGTAAAATTCCAAATAACTTCACTGATCTTCATTGTAAAGGGTTTAAACACTGTTTCCCATGCTTGTTCAATGAACCATAAACAATTAATGAACATGCACCTGTGGAACGGTCGTTAAGACACTAACAGCTTACAGACGGTAGGCAATTAAGGTCACAGTTATGAAAACTTAGGACACTAAAGAGGCCTTTCTCCTGACTCTGAAAAACACCAAAAGAAAGATGCCCAGTGTCCCTGCCTCTCTGCGTGAACGTGCCTTAGGCATGCTGCAAGGAGGCATGAGGACTGCAGATGTGGCTAGGGCAATAAATTGCAATGTCCGTACTGTGAGACGCCTAAGACAGGGAGACAGGACGGACAGCTGATCGTCCTCACAGTGGCAGACCACGTGTAACAACACCTGCACAGGATTGGTACATCCGAACATCACACCTGCTGGACAGGTACAGGATGGCAACAACAACTGCCCGAGTTACACCAGGAACGCACAATCCCTCCATCAGTGCTCAGACTGTCCGCAATAGGCTGAGAGAGGCTGGACTGAGGGCTTGTAGGCCTGTTGTAAGGCAGGTCCTCACCAGGCATCACCGGCAACAACGTCGCCTATGGGCACAAACCCACCGTCGCTGGACCAGACAGGACTGGCAAAAAGTGCTCTTCACTGACAAGTCGCAGTTTTCACCAGGGGTGATGGTTGGATTCGTGTTTATCGTCGAAGGAATGAGCGTTACACCGAGGCCTGTACTCTGGAGCGGGATCGTTTTGGAGGTGGAGGGTCTGTCATGGTCTGGGGCGGTGTGTCACAGCATCATCGGACTGAGCTTGTTGTCATTGCAGGCAATCTCAACGCTATGCGTTACAGGGAAGACATCCTCCTCCCTCATGTGGTACCCTTCCTGCAGGCTCATCCTGACATGACCCTCCAGCATGACAATGCCACCAGCCATACTGCTCGTTCTGTGCGTGATTTCCTGCAAGACAGGAATGTCAGTGTTCTGCCATGGCCAGCGAAGAGCCCGGATCTCAATTCCATTGAGCACGTCTGGGACCTGTTAGATCGGAGGGTGAGGGCTAGGGCCATTCCCCCCAGAAATGTCAGGGAACTTGCAGGTGCCTTGGTGGAAGAGTGGGTTAACATCTCACAGCAAGAACGGGCAAATCTGGTGCAGTCCATGAGGAGGAGATGCACTGCAGTACTTAATGCAGCTGGTGGCCACACCAGATACTGACTGTTACTTTTGATTTTGACCCCCCCCCCCCCCCTTTGTTCAGGGACAGATTATTCCATTTCTGTTAGTCACATGTCTGTGGAACTTGTTCAGTTTATGTCTCAGTTGTTGAATCTTATGTTCATACAAATATTGACGCGTTAAGTTTGCTGAAAATAAACACAGTTGAGAGTGAGAGAACGTTTCTTTTTTTGCTGAGTTTATATACAGAACCATTGCAATATCAGTCCATGACCTTAGATAGGCAACTCTCTTGACATTTCATCCTGCCTTTTTTTCATTTTGTAGAAGCTTATCATTGATGAGAAGAAATACTACCTGTTTGGGCGCAATCCAGACGTGTGTGACTTTACCATAGACCACCAGTCGTGTTCTCGTGTCCACTCAGCCCTGGTGTACCACAGACACCTCAAGAGGGTTTTCCTGATCGACCTCAACAGCAGTGAGTACCTAGTACTGCTTAGTATCCTGCAGTGTTCCTTGGTTGTCTGACACTATTAAGATAGTTGTCAAGTGTTTGTTTCAGTGTAAATGTTCCTTCAAGAAAGAGAACCATAGCTTGCTGGTCCCTGGTACAAAAAGGTTTGGGTCATGTCATATCATTGTCGATGCCAAATACAAGATACAGTATGTCAACTTCAACTTTCAGCATGAAGTGACATTTCGAAAGGGCAATCCATGTTACACTGTCCCCTCAGCTCATGGTACGTTTCTCGGTCGTATCCGTCTGGAGCCCCACAAGCCCCAGCAGGTGCCCATCGACTCCACCATGTCGTTCGGGGCGTCCACACGTGTCTACACCCTGAGAGAGAAGCCCCAGACCCAGACCAGCATCATACCTGGGGGAGAGGTGAAGGCAGGGGAGGATGAGGAGCTCAAAGGACTACTGGGTCTACCCGAGGAGGAGACCGAGCTGGAGGTAAGTGTGTGTGTGTGTGTTCTTGTGAGATAGATTTATGTCTTGTGCAAGCAGATTATGTAGTAGAATTGTCTTGTTTCTCGATCTGTTTGATGACCCTGACGCAGCTATATCTTGTTTCCCCTGTTCCAGAACCTGACAGAGTTCAACACGGCCCACAACAAGCGTATCTCCACCCTGACCATCGAGGATGGAAACCTGGACATCGTGAGGCCCAAGAGGAAGAGGAGGAGCAGCAGGGTCTCCTTCAGCGAGGAGGAGGAGGTCATCAACCCAGGTGTGTTACTGTAGTTAGAGTTGATGATGACACTCACGTGCACATACACACACGGTTGCACACAGACATGCAAGAACACACACGCTTGCACACAATTTAAAAATGTAATCCTTACAGAGGACGTGGACCCGTCAGTAGGACGCTTCAGGAACATGGTACAGACTGCTGTTGTCCCTATCAAGGTAAACTTCAAGTTCAACTCTTACTTTATTCTGGGGATGATTCTTGAGAAAAATTGCAAAAGTTGTTGTGTGTTGACCAAGGTTATTATAGTAAACTGAAATTATAATGAAAACGAATCATGAAAAACAATTTAGTAAATTGAAATAAAATTATAAATCCATTTGAAAACGAAAGCTGTACTGAAAATATTTTACTGGGCTAAAATCTAAATGGGGTTTTCAAGCTTTTGGGGTGTTTTCAAGCTACTGAAGCTGGTGTGTAAATGCGGCTAGCTTTTTATTTATTGATGCCTTAGATATGTAACTTTCTTACTCATCCTTATTCACGATTCATTCATGATTATCCGTAATCATGGTAGCATCGACATTAATGTAGAGGTGTTCAGAAACATTATTTTATTATTTACAGTAAAAGTGACTCCAAAATGACACAATACATTATTTACCATTCATTTCTATTCGGCACAACTTAATCTGAAACACAACCCCCCCCAAAAAAAGTTTGGAACTTCTTTAATACACATATTAGTGAATTTGGCCAAATACTTATGACACCTTCAATTGGGGGGACTAGATACATAAAGTGGTAAAACAGATATGAATGAAAATACCTTATATTCTTCTTACAGTGGCTTGCGAAAGTATTCACCCCCCTTGGCATTTTTCCTATTTTGTTGCCTTACAACCTGGAATTAAAATGGATTTTTGGGGGGTTTGTATCATTTGATTTACACAACATGCCTACCACTTTGAAGATGCAAAATATTTTTTGGGGTGAAACAAACAAGAAATAAGACAAAAAAACAGAAAACTTGAGTGTGCATAACTATTCACCCCCCAAAAGTCAATACTTTGTAGAGCCACCTTTTGCAGCAATTACAGCTGGAAGTCTCTTGGGGTATGTCTCTATAAGCTTGGCACATCTAGCCACTGGGATCTTTGCCCATACTTCAAGGCAAAACTGCTCCAGCTCCAGTTGGATGGGTTCTGCTGGTGTACAGCAATCTTTAAGTCATACCACAGATTCTCAATTGGATTGAGGTCTGGGCTTTGACTAGGCCATTCCAAGACATTTAAATGTTTCCCCTTAAACCACTCGAGTGTTGCTTTAGCTGTATGCTTAGGGTCATTGTCCTGCTGGAAGGTGAACCTCCGTCCCAGTCTCAAATCTCTGGAAAACTGAAACAGGTTTCCCTCAAGAATTTCCCTGTATTTAGCGCCATCCAGCATTCCTTCAATTCTGACCAGTTTCCCAGTCCCTGCCGATGAAAAACATCCCCACAGCATGATGCTGCCACCACCATGCTTCACTGTGGGGATGGTGTTCTCGGGGTGATGAGAGGTGTTGGGTTTGCGCCAGACGTAGCGTTTTCCTTGATGGCCAAAAAGCTCAATTTTAGTCTCATCTGACCAGAGTACCTTCTTCCATATGTTTGGGGAGTCTCCCACATGCCTTTTGGCGAACACCAAACGTGCTTGCTTTTTTTTTTTTTTAAGGAATGGCTTTTTTCTGTCCACTCTTCGGTAAAGCCCAGCTCTGTGGAGTGTACGGCTTAAAGTGGTCTTATGGAGCTTTGCAGCTCCTTCAGGGTTATCTTTGGTCTCTTTGTTGCCTCTCTGATTAATGCCCTCCTTGCCTGGTCCGTGAGTTTTGGTGGGCGGCCCTCTCTTGGCAGGTTTGTTGTGGTGCCATATTCTTTCCATTTTTTAATAATGGATTTAATGGTGCTCCGTGGGATGTTCAACGTTTCTGATATTTCTTTATAACCCAACCCTGATCTGTACTTCTCCACAACTTTGTCCCTGACCTGTTTGGAGAGTTCCTTGGTCGTCATGGTGCCGCTTGCTTGGTGGTGCCCCTTGCTTAGTGGTGTTGCAGACTCTGGGGCCTTTCAGAACAGGTGTATATATACTGAGATCATGTGACAGATCATGTGACACTTAGATTGCACACAGGTGGACTTTATTTAACTAATTATGTGACATATGAAGGTAATTGGTTGCACCAGATCTTATTTAGGGGCTTCATAGCAAAGGGGGTGAATACATATGCACGCACCACTTTTCCGTTATTTATTTTTTCAAATTTTATGAAACAAGTTATTTTTTCATTTCACTTCACCAATTTGGACAATTTTGTGTATGTCCATTACATGAAATCCAAATAAAAATCCATTTAAATTACAGGTTGTAATGCAACAAAATAGGAAAAACGGCAAGGGCGATAAATACTTTTGCAAGGCACTGTACATGTACAACTAAAGTAAAAAATGCATTGGATTGGTGTAAACATGGACAGGAGAGTTTCTTTCGACCATATTTGTTGCACCAGTCTCTGCGCTATTCCTTTTAAATCCAAGTCAAATTATTGATTTAATAATTTAAATCTAACCCTACCTATGACCTTACCCATCACCTTATTTTTACTGCCCCCCAGTTGAAAGAAGTGACACCCCAAAAAACTATACAACACAAATGCATGCTTTCTGTTCCTAACACCAAAACTGAATCTAAATAAATAATTAAATATAAATATTTGTATACAACTAAAACAAATGAGCAAATCAGGTCTGAAAACTAACTGAAACTAAACTGAATTTCAAATAAAAATCTAAAATCGAATATATTTAAAAACGAATATAAAAACACAAAACTATAATTACCTTGGTGTTGACCGATTGCAATCAATCAATCAATGCTAGAAGTTGTTGTGTGTTGACAAATTGAGATCGATCATGTCAGTCCCTTTTTAAGACAACATTTGTCACAGAGTACTTCAGTGCTTTATAGTTGACGCTACTGTATTGCCATCTTCAATCTTCTCGTTCCCCCCTAAACCCTGCTACCCATTCAGAAGAGGAAGATGGAGGGCCATGCTACACTAGGTCTGGAGGACTCTGTGGCCAGACGCATGCAGAACTTCCCCTTCAGTGGAGGGCTCTATGGAGACCTCCCACCCACCAGTGGAGAGGCCAGCTCCCTCCCCACCGCGGCCCAGGGTGGAGCTACTATCCTGGGGGGCCTGCCGCTGGTCTTCCCAAACCCTGCTCCAGAGGTGGACCTCTCCCCTACCTCAGCCTCAGCACAGCCCTCCGTCACCCTCAACCCTGCTGCTAACCCCGCCCCTGGACCCTACACTGCCGAGGCTCTTAACGAACCACGCAAGAAGAAATACGCCAAGGAGGCGTGGCCAGGGAAGAAGCCCACGCCTTCTCTTCTTATATAGGTTGTATTCAAAATGGCACCCTATTTCCCTTAGTCCACTGCTGGCTAAAAGTAATGCACTATATAGGGAATAGGGTGCCATTTCAAATTTGCACATAGCACCTCCCTGGACAATGTAATGGGAGGGGTTAGTATTAGTTAGGGGAGTGGTCACGTCTCTGGACAACCAATCAATCAAGACTTCCTGTACTGTACAAGCTGTGAAAAACTGATATATAGGCATCCATGATATAGGGAGATGTTTGTAAAAAATAATATATTATTTTGGTTTGGATGTTTTTTTTTTGTTTTTTTTGTCTGTCTGCTTCATACGTAAAGTACCAGTCAAAAGTTTTTCTTTATTTTTACTATTTTCTACATTGTAGAATAATAGTGAAGACATCAACACTATGAAATAACACATGTGGAATCAAAAAAGTGTTAAACAAATCAAAATATATTTGAGATTCTTCAAAGTAGCCACCCTTTGCCTTGATGACAGCTTTGCACACTCTTGGCATTCTCTCAACCAGCTTCATGAGGAATGTTTTTCCAACCGTTTTGAAGGAGTTCCCACATATGCTGAGCACTTGTTGGCTGCTGTTCCTTCACTCTGTGGTCCAACTCATCCCAAACCATCTCAATTGGGTTGAGGTCGGGTGATTGTGGAGGCCAGGTCATCTGATGCAGCACTCCATCACTCTCCTTCTTGGTCAAATAGCCCTTACACAGCCTGGAGGTGTGCTTTGGGTCATTGTCCTGTTGAAAAACAAATGATAGTCCCACAATGCGCAAACAAGATGGGATGGCATATCGCTGCAGAATGCTGTCGTAGCCATGCTGGTTAAGTGTGCCTTGAATTCTAAATAAATCACAGACAGTGTCACCAGCAAAGCACCATCACACCTCCTCCTCCATGCTTCATGGTGGGAACCACACATGCAGAGATCATCCGTTCACCTACTCTGCGTCTCACAAAGACACAGCGGTTGGAACCAAAAACCTCAAATTTGGACTCATCAGACCAAAGGACAGATTTCCACCGGTCTGTCCATTGCTCGTGTTTCTTGGCCCAAGCAAGTCTCTTCTTCTTATTGGTGTCCTTTAGTAGTGGTTTCTTTGCAGCAATTCAACCATAAAGGCCTGATTCATGCAGTCTCCTCTGAACAGTTGATGTTGAGATGTGTCTGTTACTTGAACTCTGTGAAGCATTTATTTGGGCTGCAATCTGAGGTGCAGTTAACTCTAATGAACTTATCCTCTGCAGCAGAGGTAACTCTGGGTCTTCCTTTCCTGTGGCGGTCCTCATGAGAGCCAGTTTCATCATAGCGCTTGATGGTTTTTGCAACTGCAAATGTTCCGTGTTGACTGACCTTCATGTCTTAAAGTAATGATGGACTGTCGTTTGCTTATTTGAGCTGTTCTTGCCATAATATGGACTTGGTCTTTTACCAAATAGGCCTATCTTCTGTATACCACCCCTACCTTGTCACAACACAGCTGATTGGCTCAAACGCATTAAGAAGGAAATAAATTCCACAAATTAACTTTTAACAAGGCACACCTGTTAACTGAAATGCATTCCAGGTGACTACCTCATGAAGCTGGTTGAGAGAATGCCAAGAGTGTGCAAAGCTGTCATTAAGGCAAAGGGTGGCTACTTGAAATATGTTTTTATTTGTTTAACCCTTTTTTGGTTACTACATGATTCCATATGTGTTATTTCATAGTTTTGATGTCTTCACTATTGTTCTACAATGTAGAAAATAGTAAAAATAAAGAAAAACCCTGGACTGAGTAGGTGTGTTCAAACTTTTGACTGGTACTGTATATTATAACATGTTTTGTTTTTTATTGCTCAACTCACTTGTACTGACAAAGTAGTGTCTGACTTAGCTCAGATTAAAAATGCTATTTAAACTAATTCAACCTATACACAAACGCAGGCTTCTTGAAGCGCATCATAAGTCTTACTGTAACAGATTGGTGCATTTGAACCATTGTTTTACAGCTTTATTTATTTATTATTTTAAACTAAATGAAACATTGCTCTGTTACAAAAACCAATCTTATACATTTGCTATTCACTCTGACTGTTTGATTTACTGTATGATTTTGCTTTTTTGGATATTTTTTGTGCCGTTGGTTTCACTGAAAACCATGTTTCTGCCAAGACAGAGGGTAACATTAACCAGACAAGGACTGCTCGACGTTTTAGTAATCCACTCAGATAAGGCTATGATCTGAGGGTCCATATTGGCTTTAAAGAAACTAGGAAGAAACAAACCAGTTTGTGTGTGAGACAGTGATTATGTTTTTGCAGTTTTTTACAATTATTCAGCGGTTGGTTGAAATGGAACCCATTATTGTCAGATATGTGTGAAATTCAGTTAGGAAGAATAGAAAAAAACTGTTTAAACAAATTACAATTCATATCTTTGTTTGATATTTGTATAATAAACAGTAATAATCTATACTACTCCTCTCTTCGCTGTGTGAGATGAGATGATGGCAGGAGAGGAGGATTAGTTTAGTCCCTAGAGAAATCTCCCCCTGGGTCTCTGCTGTGTTGCTTTCATATCCCTGGTTTTACTGTTTTACTTCACACGATGCCATCTACTGAGAAAGCGCCTGGGATGGCTAATTAAGTGATTTTTCAGCTAACCAAATGTGATGGTCTGTTCTGGGAACACGTCAAATGTGTCAGTTACTCTCCCAAGGTGATGAGTTTTACATATGTCTCAACTAATTTAAACCTCAAATTTCATCCACTGGTTTTTGTTTCTGAGTATTACTTGTGGGTTTGTTAAAGCACTTTTTTTTTTTTTTACCAATCTGTCCACAAAACCAATCTGTGGTTTTATAGGAGTAAGAATAAATAAATGGTTGTACTCCCATAGATAGCAGTGATTAGCAATCACTGCTACTTGCTACACGATGAAGGGTGTTTATCCTTCACAATATCCGTTTGATGCACAAGCTGCAGACAGTGTCGAATTCTATCTACAATGTGGCTAATTTTGATTAGTTGTATTTCCATGGTCAATGCCGTGTCGGATTCTACTGAATTATATGAACATGTGGCACATTTTAAATGGTTGTGTTCTTATAGTTGTTGATCTCTTTTCCACCAGAGGGCAACATGTGTACTGTGCGCTGCTCTCTTTGTGGAATCTAGAAACAACCCCCGATGTCTACCTACCTCATTGGATTACTATCAGTTTCACAAATGTTCTCCATCTAGGAATGAAAATGAAACCATTATTAGGATGACACATCCATTTTTGAAATATTGCTATTGTTAGTATTCTGTATCAATGAATAGATGGTAGCAGACATTGGGTTCATAATATAATCAGTCAATGATTAATATTATGAATAGGACTGATCATTGTTGATTTTAAAAGGACAGTGATGAAGGCCAATCAGACTCATAACCTGTCTTTTCGTTTCCAGTTTTGAGGGTCAGTAGCAAAGTGATCAGTGTTTTCCCTTTTGGCTGGTATTATATATTTTAGTAACATCTTAATGCTTGTGATAGACTGTTGTAAAGGAATGTTGGCAATGCCATAGTTATGCTGTGCTCCATGAGGTGATCTTATTTGGAGAAACTCTGGAGTGGGTTTAGTAAGGGAACATGCAGCTACACCATCTCACCTGTAGGGGTCTCTGGGGTTCTTCGCTGGCCCTGCTATGCTGTCTCTGAGTTGTCCCAAATGGCACCCTATTCCCTATATAGTGTGCTTAATTTTAACAGGGCCCTGGTCAAAAGTAGTGCACTACATAGGGAATAGGGTGCCATTTGGGATGCTAACTCTGTCTCACCAGTGCAGATAAACAACCAGCAACTCCTTAATCAAATTTGCATGAGTGTGCTCAGGTTGCCATGGCAATAATTATCAGCGCTGCCTAATTAACTTTCTCAATTGCTTAATGAGATACGACCCTCTGAACTCTTATTTTTTTCTTATTTCTAATCCATCTTTTTTTATTCTGTCTATTTTCCATTCTCTCTCTCTCTCTCTCTCTCCTCAGTGTTAACCTGGGACCACTGAGATAATAGAAATTACACAGAAAATAAATCCTGCCTCACATCATTTAACACAGGAATGTATAGGCTGATAGTTTCACACATGGAATGCAAAATGGAGACTAAAAGATACTACCTGTAATACTGGTATAATATCCATAAGTATCTATTAGTATATTGAGTATGCAACTCACATGTTGTGATGTAGCGGCCCCTGAAGGCTTCAGGGGCCACAGGTGACCTGCTGAGACAGCTGAGTGAGGGAGGGTTGGCAAGACCTCACCGGTCCTGATCACCCCAATCGCCGGTCGCACGCAGTGAAGCGGAACTCTCAAGAATGTTTAGAGATGGGGGAGACAGGGAGGAAAGCACCCGGTGACACCCTCACAAAGCCACCTACCCCTCTCCCACCTTGTCACACCCAATGTTCTATACCTCTACATCCCTACCAGGCCCCTCAGTCGTTCTGATCCAATTCCCTTCTCTTCTCCCCTGGAGTGTGCACTTGATCACTCCCCCTCATTGGATTGGTATGAGCATGTTTCCACCAGTCCATTTCTGAGATCACGTTGAGGGGTAGGGAACGAGTGCTTACTTCTGCAGACTGTAGGCAGCCTCTCTCTCTCGTGTAGTTGTGCCTTGGTCCCTGGGAGTGACTTCATCATGCAGTAACTGTAACTGTTTTCTACTCCACCCTGTGGCCTGAGTTGTGGTGGTCAGTCAGCCAGCTCAATGACTTTCCTCCAATGTACAGTAAGCTAGGCAGGCCAGCCAGACCCATTATGGGATCACTGCTAGGGCAGCAGACCACAGCGGTCAGACCAGTTCATGGGAACTCCTGCTACATTTTTCATAGGAGGGATATTTAAATGTCTACAGCCGGGTTGGGGACAGTTCAGTTTCATGAATTTAAATGATTCATGAATAGAAAATCACCCGTTTGTTTAATATGAGGAATTGTTTCGATTCATGAATTGACTGAATTGGAAACTGAATTGTCCCCTGGTCCACAGAACTGGGTCATTTCATTTACACATTTACTGAGTATTTATATGACACATAATAGCTGCTTTGTCTTTTGGGCATACCCTGTGATTTCAGTGACATCCTGTAAAACAAATAGAGGTTATTCA